GAATGCCAATGCAAAGGTAATTGTCCAGTTTCTGACTCTCACAGGCTGTGTTTGGCCCTTACGTCACTAGTGAAAGAAGTCTGATCTACACTAAACCCGATAACCTCATTTAGATAACTACTACCAGTACTACTACTACTGGTTTGAATTTGTTAATCACCTTCTGTATGTGGATATGAATAGAAGAATTACTGATTAATGTCTACAGGAACAGATTTCACTATGTCAATAAAGGTGTTGAACCATTAGAACAATGAAGCTATGTAAATAAAAAGAAGTGAAAAATAATACAAGATGCCGTAATTGTCTAACACTAAGACTTTGAATGATATTACAGTTGTTTAAAAAAACAAGAGTATGCAATGACCACTTAAAAGAAGGAACATAACATAATGCAAACTCACAAGGTGAATTAACTATAGCATTCCTTGCTTCTTGATAGGGTAAACATATTACCTTAAACTGGTTTTTGTATGGAATATTAAATACTGTTTCACATATGGAGTCACTTAAGGTCCACAAGAGAAAATTATCACCCTCAAAATGAAAATCTCAAACTAAAAATCGTAGACCATGCAGAGAGTTGGACAAATTTTACGCTACTAAAACAAAGAAAATCTGTAAAGTTGTTAATAATCAGACAGATATGACTCTTTGCAAATATACAAGAAGAAGGGAGAACACAGACCTCCTCTTTGGTAGGAGACACTGCTATGCCCAGTGCAACTGCACTCTTTCTACATACAACCAAGCCTGGGGCTCGGCATCACCAAATAACCCAAAATATGGAGCTGGCTGTCATGAGCCAGCTCCATAACAGTACCTCTCCCACCATGACTTCATCTTTCATCCGCAGATGTAGCCATCTACTTACATGAATAAATCTTAAGACTCATATTGTTACACAGCAAACAAAAGCAAGTTTAAAAGCTTGACAGCCATTTTTCAAGACATTTTAATCATATGAATTAAACTTCTACTACTTGTGGAAATTCTTAATTTTTTGGCCAGAAATCTAAGTGGAAAGGTCTAGATGTGCATTTAACATATGACCTGACGGACTCCACAGATCATGTTCTCAGTCAATTTAATTACTGTGTAGTTGTCTACAGAGCACCGAATTTTCTGTATGGAGGAAAAAAAGTTCTGGGGACCTGGGCAGTGCAGTTACTGGGCTGCATCAAGAGGTGCGTGGCCAGCAGGTGGAGGGACGTGATTCTCCCCATCTGCTCCACACTTGTGAGACCCCACCTGGAGTACTGCGTCCAGTTCTGGAGCCCACAGCACAAGAAACATATGGATGTGCTGGAGTGTGTCCAGAGAAGGGCCACGAGGATGATCAGAGGGCTGGAGCACCTCTCCTAAGAAGACAGACTGAGAGAGTTGGGGTTGTTCAGTCTGCAGAAAAGAAGGTTCCAAGGAGACCTTATTGTGGCTTTCCAGTATCTCAAGGGGGCTACAAGAAAGCTGGTGAGGGGCTTTTTAGGATGTCGGGTAGTGATAGGACTAGGGGGAATGGATTTAAGCCAGAGATGGATCGGTTCAGATTGGACATTAGGAAGAAGTTCTTCCCCATGAGGGTGGTGAGACACTGGCACAGGTTGCCCAGAGAGGTGGTGGAAGCCCCATGCCTGGAAGTTTTTAAGGCCAGGCTGGATGGGGGTCTGGGCAGGCTGATCTAGTGGGGGGATGTCCCTGCCCATGGCAATTCTATGACACTATTAGTGGAAGAGATTAGAGACATTTGAGGACTAATAGCAGCACTTCGAAAAAATTTCTCCTCTTTCAAACTTTCTCTCTTCCCCGTTGAAACAGAAGTAAGATAACTCATATTAATTTTCATAAGAAGCTTTAGAAAAAGAATGGATGCCAGTGAAGAATAGAACACTAATACCTCATCTGAAAAATCACCTGAAACACCTGGCAGGCCAAGATAATCTTGGTACACTGGCTAAACCAAAGAGACACTGATCACAGGTGGGATTTCAGTATCAGTATCTTGATGTGCCTATTAAACCTCCTGTATTTATGAGAGTGTAGAAGAAAATAGAAAGAATAAAATTTTGCCAGAGTAAAACATAGGATTTGGGGGTTTTGTAGGAGGGGGTCACTGACTTGAAGCATATATATTTTCTTTATCAGAAACATTCCTGTGACTAGTATTAGAAAACAGGTGGACTTTAATGTTGCTGGAGTACTGGATTAGAGCTGGTTCTGGGAGTGAGAGACAGCTGAAGAATGGATGGAGCAAACAGATGTGTACTTCCAGACAGATGGTCTCACTGAATATTCTGAAAGGAGGATGTAAAAAGGAACTTCTCAGCTGCTATATCCAAAGGTCAGGTACAATAACTTGTGTGTTAAGAATGGTTTCCAACACATGACATCAACTCACTTATGTTGACAAGCAGTAGGAAGCAAGATGTCACGCACAGAAGATCAGTCTGCTTTGACAGTAGGAAACTTGAGGATGGCTCAGACTAATATGCTCTGTAATAAACACTGATGATCAAACACTGTAATCCTTTTGCATATGCAGGAGGTGGAAGGCATATAGACAATATTCAAATAAATGCTATTTTTAGTTCCACTGACCCATACACATTTCTAACAGGTGCTGAAAATATTTTTTGCACAGTGTTTAGAGCCAGCAGTTCCTCCAAAACCAGGGAATGCAACTCTTCCCAGTGCAGAAATTTCATGGGAAAAAGATCAGCCTCTAACAACAGTATCCCTGTGGCCAAATGTACACAGTGAGAAACATCTATAAATGTTAATGGTCTCAATTGCAAAGTCACAGACTGGCATAAACACAGAATGAGTTCAGAAAAAATGCAGTGTCCCAGAATACACACAGACCATTAGGCCAATAAACAAACCTACTATGATATCCCGTATAATACAGGAGACTGAGTTATTTATTTCTAGAGAATGTTAAAACTTCCAAAGCACACAATTTTTCTATGAAATTCAATCACAAGATCCAAAAACATTCCATAAATAGTATCCATAGACACCTTAGACATTTACTGATGTCTATGTAATAGAAAACTTTATTCTAGTAAAGTTTATTCTAGTAAAGTTCTATTTATAGATATTTATAAATAATAAATA